ATATTTTCCCTCCACTAAGATCTCAGCTGCCTGGAAGGAAATTTCTGTGGCTAAGCAAAAACCATTCAAGTTATTCTTTGAATTCTGGAGCCAGTTTCAAGAAATGCTTACCCGATGTCCCAATCATCAAATTCTTGAGGAGCACTTGGTACAGTATTTCTATAATGGATTGTTGCCCTATGACGCCCAAGTCTTAGATGTTGCTGTTAATGGATCTGTGGAGAATATAGAACCACAAGTTGCATGGGATTTAATAAGAACTTTAGCTCTTAACAAACAACATGTAGGCTCAAGGGATCTAAGGGATCACAAAGCTGAAAGGAATCCACTTTTGGTCAAGTTAGCCCAAGACATGTCTAAGCTTGCAAATACAGTTAAAAGTCTCCGCTCCAACAAGCCACAATCTCTCACTTTAATGGCTACAAGCTGTAGGGTTTGTGTCTGATGCATACTATACCAAATTGCCCTGGGCTAGTTGAAGAAGTTAATGCAATGTACCAAGGTACAGAGGGGCAATATCAGAAAAAAGTTACTCAAATATCTACAATCCAAGTTAGAGAGACCACCCAAACTTTAAATGGGAAGGAGGAGTAGTTCCAAGATAATCATTTTCACAATGCTAGAGCTTCCTCGAGCAACTTTCAAGATCCTTTAAGGGCAGTAGTAACAACTCCACAAAAGACTATGGTATCTCAACCACCGAGAGGGGATAACACTTCTCAACTCTTGAAGAGTATGGCTGCTCAGATGACAAACATAGAGGGGCGAATGAAGGAGAGTGATGATAAGTTCATCTCAATAACCACCATCTTACAAGGGATGCAGAAGGATAACTCAAATGTGCACAAGAAATTAGAGGAGCTTACCTTGAAGAACACTGATATCACTAGTCATTTGACCTAACTGTCTAATGCGGTCAGTGACATACAAGCCAAGAGTGGGGGGAAGCATTCCCTCTAATACAGTGATCAACCCACAGGGGCTCAATGTTATAACCCTATGAAGTGGTAAGAAGGTTCACTTTGAGGGTGAAAGGGTAGATAAGACTGAAGTTGATCAAGATGTTGACAGCCCTACACTTTCCCCAATAAGGCTTGGCAAGTCTGAAAGCTCACAAGAAGAAGAGCTCATAAAGAGGGCAAGAGCACAAACTGGTCCAGAAGAGGGGCCAACTCAAGCACATGGCCAAGTAATTCAAGAAGTTGTGCTAGAAGATGAAAACATTGTGGAGAACTCTGCTTACAAAAGTAAACAGAAAGAGGACAGGGCAGAGACAAGCATGCAAGGAGCCTCTAAGCCTTCAGGTAAGGAGGAAAGTACTAAAGATCTCTCTTTCCCTAAAGCTTATTTCTCTGGTAAGAAAAAGTTTAATGCTGAGTTTGCCACTAATGCTTATACTTTATTCAACAAGCTAGAAATTAATGTGCCCATAATTGAATTCTTGAGAGGAAACCTTAAATACTTTAAGCTATTAAAGGAACTATGTAATGACAAGCAAAGGTTTAGGGCTCTTGAGAGAATTCAAGTGAGTGATAATGTGTCATCCTTATTCAAAGCTGAACTACCGATTAAGTGCTAAGATCCTAGATCTTACACCATCCCTAGTACCATAGGAAGGGTTCACATTAAGGAAGCATTGTTAGATTTAGGAGCTGCTATAACTGTCATGCCTTGGTTAGTTTATTTGGCCCTAGGGATAAATGGCATCAAAGACACAAGTGTAGCACTCCAACTAGCAGATAGGTCTATTAGGTACCCCAAAGGAATCATAGATTATATTCTGGTTCAAGTTAAAGACCTAGTATGCCCTGCTAATTTCTATGTTTTGGACATGTCCAATGAACTTGTAAATGAGAGTACTCTAATTCTAGGAAGACCTTTCTTGCAAACTTCTAAAACCATCATAAGCATAAAGCATAGCTATATAACAATGGAAGTAGGGGATCATGTTGTAACTTTTAATATGAATGAAGCCATGCATTACCCCTTTGATAATTCTACATTCATGGGTTTAAATGCTATTGATTTAATTGTTGAGAAAGCTAGGGATGAGCATAAGCTACGTATACATGACGGTTATGACATGGGTTCACCTAAATTGATTGATTCTTCTACTGCACTCTCATGTGAATCTTATGAGCTTGCTCGCCTTTGAGTGCTTATGATGAATATTTCAATTCTCTCTCTTCTGTTTACTCATTTTCTAGTTCTTTTGGAGATGAGGTGCCATGCATTAATTCTTTAGAAATTAATAGCATACTTTCCATTTCTCAAGACTTTTCTTTCCCATCAAATTTTGATTCCATTTTTACGTTTACAACTGATGTTGGCCTTGGAAAGAGTTTATTAGCCAATGATGCAGGTGTTCAAGAAGTGGTGTGTATTGAGAGTGGAGCAAATCTGAGGATAGAAGCCTCTATGAGTTGAAGTCATGACCTCAGGATTCTCAAGTCGCAACTTCAGACCAAAACTATAGAGAGGGTGGCCTCTGTGAAGTGAGATTATGACCTGGAGATGTGAGGTTGCGACCTGAGCCCCCTATTTCACCTCTTGAACTTTAAGCTTCAATTGCTTCACTACCTCATGTCTTAAAGACTTTGGTTAAAGGGCCAACACTTTCTAACTCAATTCTTACTCATACACATTCTAAAATTACACCTTATACCTTATGATTTTTGAATGATCTAATCTCTAATAATGATATAGATATAGAGGTGAACCAACCTAAGGTTGTTATTGCTGTAAACCAACTCGAGCTTGGTGTAACATTCGATAGGACTGAAGCAAGCATAGTGAATCTAAGTGAAGTTGGCGAGTGCATTTCACAAGGGTCTACAAAAGGGAGTTTTTCTAACTCTGTTGATTTTCCTACTCTAATTTCCTCTATTGTTCAACCCCCAACTTTAGAACTGAAAGATTTACCTCCTAACCTTAAATATGATTATCTTGAGCCTAAGAATAAATTGCCTATCATTATTTCTAATTCTTTAATTGAACATGAAGAGACTAGTCTAATAGGAGTCCTTAGAAGAACTAGGGAGGCTTTGGGTTGGCAACTAGCTGACATTAAGGGAATTAACACCGATAGGATTTTACTGATTGAGGATTCCAAGCCAATTAAATAAAGCCAGGGGAGGTTGAATCCTCTAATTTTTAATGTGGTTGGGGAAGAAGTAGATAAACTTCTGAGGGGTGGAATTATTTATGCTATATCTGATAGTAAATGGGTGTCACTGGTACAAGTCATGCCGAAAAAGAGTGGAATCACAATAGTTAAAAATAAGAACAATGAACTCATCCCAACTAGGGTGCAAAACTCATGGAGAGTTTGCATTGACTATAGGAAACTGAATGAGTCTACTAGGAAAGATCACTTTCCCTTGCCCTCTATTGATCAAATACTTGAACGGTTAGAGGGGAAGAGTCATTACTGCTTCTTAGATGGATATTCTGGATATTTTCAAATTCCTATCGACCCTAAGGACTAAGATAAGACCACTTTCACTTGTCCTTTTGGAACCTATGCTTGCAAAAGAATGCCCTTTGGTATTTGCAATGTCCCTGGCACATTCCAATGTTGTATGCTATCCATTTTTGCTGAATTTATTGAAAAATGCATGGATGTGTTCATGGATGATTTTACTGTATATGGGAATTCTTTTGAAGAGTGCTTGAAAAGTCTTGATAAAATCTTAGCATGATGTATTGAGAAAAAACTGGTTTTGAATTATGAGAAATTCCATTGCATGGTTAACTAAGGCATCGTGTTGGGACATTTGACCTCTAAAAGAGGAATAGAGGTTGATAAAGCCAAAGTGGAGGTGATGTCTTCTTTACCTTACCCTACCAACTTGAAAGAGTTAAGGTCCTTTTTAGGACATGTGGGGTTCTATAGAAGGTTCATCAAGGATTTTAGTAAAATTCCTTTACCTCTTTCCAAACTACTGCAAAAGGATGTCGATTTTCAATTAGACCATACATGTGAGGTTGCTTTTGATGAATTAAGGAAAAGGCTAGTTACTCCTCTTATTTTGACCTCTCCCAACTGGGAATTGCTTTTCGAAATTTCTTGTGATGCTTCAAACTTGAGTGTGGGGCAATGTTAGGTCAAAGGGAAAATTCTATTTCTAAAGTGATTGCTTATGCCTCTAAAACTCTAGATGTAGCTTAGAAAAACTATACCACTACTGAAAAGGAATTGTTTGCAATTGTTTTTGTACTTGATAAGTTCATACCCTATCTCATCAATTCCAAGGTAGTTGTATTTACAGATCACGCAGCACTGAAGTATCTTTTCCACAAACCTCAATCAAAGCTGAGGCTCTTAAGGTGGATGTTGCTGCTACAAGAATTTGATATGGAAGTGAAAGATAAAGCTGGTAATGTCAACCATGTAGCAGATCATTTAAGTAGGCTACCACTACAGACAAGGGGAGTATTAGATTCTGACATTATTTGTGATTCCTTCCCTGACCAGTCTTTATGTGCATTAGCTATTTCTCAACCATAGTTTGCTCACTTAGTTAACTATATTGCTACTGGTCTAATCCCTTCTCACTTAACTACTTTTTAGTCTCAAAAGCTTAAAAGCAGAACTTCCTACTACATTTGGGACCCATCGCATCTATGGGGAATATGTGCTGACCAAGTGATTAGACGGTGCATTCCTGAAGTAGAGGCTCGACCCATTTAGGAGCTTGCTATGATACCTTATGTGGGGGCACTTTAGTGCTAGAAAAACAGCTAGGAAAGTGCTAGATGTAGGTTTTTATTGGCTTACCCTGTTTAGAGACACATTCACTTTTTGTAATGTATGTGATAAATGCCAACGATTTGAGGGGGTTAGTAGAAGGAATAAAATGCCATAGCAACCTATCTTGTTCTGTGAGATCTTTGATGCTTGGGGAATAGACTTTATGGGCCCCTTTCCACCTTTTCACGGTTACACCTACATTGTCCTAGCTATAGATTACCTCTCTAGGTAGGTAGAAGCCATCCCCATGCGAAAGGATGATGCACCTACGGTTTTCAAATTTCTGAAGTCTACTATCTTCAGTAGATTTGGAGTGCCTAAGGTGCTAATCAGTGATCAGAGAACCAACTTCTGCAACAAGTTACTCAATAATTTGTGGGCTAAAAATGGGGTTTCTTATAGAGTATCCACCTCATACCACCCTCAAACCAATGGCCTGGCTGAGGTATCAAATAGAGAAATTCAATGCATCCTGGAATAGATTGTCAAGCCTTCTAACAGAGACTGGAGCTTATGGCTAGATGATGCACTGTGGGCCTACCACACCGTCTACAAGACGCCAATAGGAATGTCTTCGTACTAGATCATCTATGAAAAGTCTTGTCACATTCTGGTAGAGCTGGAGCATAGATCATATAGGGCGGTTAAGAGCTGCAACGCTGACTTGGAGGAAGCTGGTCTGAACCAACTCCTTCAAATTCAAGAACTTGAAGAAATGCGGTTAGACACCTACCATAGCTTTAACATCTACAAGGAAAAATCCAAGCTTGTTCACAATGCCAACATCTTGAGGAAGAAGTTCAAGGAGGGTAACAAGGTGTTGAGGTATCAAGCTCAGTTCAAATTCAAGAAGGGTAAATTCAAGACGAGCTGGGATGGACCATACACTGTTATGAAAGTGCACGATTTTGGGATGATAGAGCTAAAGGAGGAGGCCATGAGCAAAATGTTCCAGTGCGATGGTTATCTCCTCAAGCTTTACAAAGAGCCCATTCCGCCTTCTTAAGGCTAGGTCATCCCTTTACTTTACCTCTTACTATTCACATGAATTTATTTGTGCTTAAATTATCTTGCTGTTACTATTTGAGATTGTGAAAGGGATGTCCTCAGTAGAAGTAGTTTTAAATTCTGTTGCTTGGTTTGTTTCGAATAATCTCCCCTAGCTTTGAGTTTGATGTGATTCTGATTATGCTTCTATTCTGTCATCACCACACACTTAATTGCATTCTTTATTTTTCCCATCCTTGCACTTAGTTCTTTTCTTCTCTCTAGATGGGTGATGTGTTGTGCTTCATTCCTAAATTGAACTTCACAACTTCCACCTTTGTTGTTTTTGAGCTTTGTGTTTTGGTATGTGACTATATGCTACAACACGGACATTGCTTTAAGTATGTTAGGGAGGGAGGTTTAAAAGTAGTTTTGTGTTTTGTTTTTTGGGTTGTTCCTTGTTATGGTTAGTTCTTGCGGAAGCTTGTCAAAATTTTTAAAATATTTTTTGAAACCTTAAGAGTTTCCCCAATCTTCCATCACTTGTTTTTGAAGTTTTGTGTTAAATTATTGAGAATCTAGTGATGGATTGCTGAGTTGGGTTGTTTTGATAGGTATTTTGGTAAGTGGTTTTGGTATAGGGTCTTTATTTTGAGGTTTTTCAGGGTCTACAATGTTAGAGACCTCTTTGTGACCCCACGTCACGACCTAGCTACTTTCAAGCCGTGACCTGGAGGTTAGTCTGAGGAGAGGAGCTCTCTGAGCTGAAGTCACAACCTCACTATTTTAGGTCACAACTTGGGGAAGAAACTAGGTAAAGGCTCTCTGTGAGTTGAAGTCGAGACCTCGCTATTTTCAGGTTAAGACTTGGAGCCTTCCTGAAACCCTAAATCCCCCCTGTCTGCTAAAGTTGCGACCTCACATCCATCTGGTCGTGACATGACATGAAAAGTTAGGATTTTTCTTCGAGTTCACCTCTTTACCCTTACTTATTTCCACCCTAATTACCATTTTACCCTTTGAACCTGCCCTAAATTCAAGCTTTCTACACTACAAGGGGGCCAAAACCCTAATTCTTCTTTGCAAAATCACACATACCCTCCCTTCAGCTTCCCTCGCACGTTCACTCCCCTCTCTCCATGACTGAACTTCTGCCTCCTTGAAGTCGTGACTTTCCATTCTTCTGTAACCGTCCTTCCCCTTCATTTTCCTTAAGTGAAACTGCCTTTCCTATTCAAAAACTTGTCTCTTCTCCACTCCCTCATCTTGCTTAATGCCAACCTACTCTCTTGTGCTTGCTATTGCTTTCTTACCTCTGGAAATCCTCCCTTGCCATCTAAGATTCAAGCCATTCTTGAGTGAAATTCGTCCTTCCTGTACTCTTTCAAGGTTTGCTCTTTTTTTTTCTTGTTCTTCCTAGTTCAGTTTAGTTCTATATTTTCTAGGGTTTTAGTTTCTAGGGTTTTGATTTTGATTGAGTGGAGTTTTGGCTGGACGTTTGAAATGCTGTTTAATTGGTTTTGTAACTGCTTGGGATCACATTTGCTGTAAACATTTAGTTTCTGGAAAACTGGTTCGCTCTGTGTTTTCTAAAATTTCTGGGTTCAGGTCGCGACCTCACTATTTTCAGGTCATGACCTTGAGCCTTTACAAACTCAATTTTTCTCTCTCTGTCTGTTCAAGTCGTGACCTAAGCTCACAGAGGAGACTTTAAACCTCTGATTCACCTTTGTTGTTTCCAAACTGCAGTTTCTTAATGGATTTTGACTTTACCTATTAAGGTTTTGCGAGAAATTGATTTTAGGCAATTGAAAATTATGAATGCTTGGGTTTTCTCATGATTTTCCCAATGGTTTTAAAATGTACGTTTCCTAATTCAAAATCTTCAACAATTTTGCTAAAGTGAGTCTAGTAAGGGATAGCTTTTAGCTAAGTGTAGGGGAGTGCTTGGTTTCTGGGCCTAGTAAAGGTTTTAGTTTCCTTTGTAGGATTATTTGTTTTGTGTGTTTATTTTGGTTGTTTGTTGTGTGTTTACTTTGCACTCATATGCCTCACACCAAGAACCCTGAGTCTTGAAGCTCGAAAAAGCTTCACCCTTAGGAGGAGACCAGACTTACAAGAGAGAAAACAGTGAAAATGTTTGCCAATAAGGGGTGGTACAAGAGTGAAATTTTCCAGAGACTAAGGAGTACGACTTTTATAAGCTCGCCATGGTACGTGGTTTGGGGAAACTCATGAAGAAGAGAAACAAGGCTAACTTGACTCTAGTGAGAGAGTTCGATGCTAACTCTGCGATGGATGGACATATGGGGATCACTTTGAGAGGGAGTGAATGATATTTCAGTTGAGACCCTATTAAGAAGTTTTCCAAGCTTCTTGAAGTCCCTATCTGTGAATAACAGCGTTGGAAGACCAGAATTGAGGAAGTTCCCTGGGAAGAGGTTTTCTAAACCATGAGGACAGGGGGAGCTGGTTGGATTGTAAAGGAAAGTTGGCGGAAAGTCTTCGAGCGCAAGCACATGAATGATGAAGCCACGATTTAGCTGAACTTCATGACCTACAATGTGATGTCTTCAGCCCATATTTTTTATGTTTCTGAAAAGGGAGCACTTCTATTATATCTCCTCATGACCCAACAGCTGATTGACATCCCTATCATCGCCCTAGACTAGATTAGGCATTATGTCAATAATGTCCGGACTCTTTTGATATTTTCGCACTTGATCACAAATATGTGTGCAGTACATGGGATACCAATGTACAAGTCTGACTCTATCTTGGATCCTATCACGACTAGGTGCTATGCCGCCTCCAAATCCAACAGAGAGAGGAAAAGAGGAAAGAGGGTGATGGAGGAAGGTCTAGAGGAGGAGGCAACTAAGGGTGGCTCTAGTTTCAACCTCACCTCTTTAAGTGAGCAAATTACTGAACTTGGTCAGTAAGTGACGAATCTAAGTGAGGATTTCGATGCATACAAAGCTATCTCCATGTTTCATGAGTTCAGAAGGCAGAGGTTTAATGATCCTCTCATGTTGGAGATGGCCAAGGCTTTCGAGGTTAACTTTCCTCAAGTGTATGAACATGCTTTCTGGGAGAACACCGTTCCTGCCACCAGTTACTTTAGTGGGGGTCTAGGGCAGTTTTCTGGTACTACTACTGCTACTGCGTTTGATGCTGAAATGGGAGAAGTAAATGTCCAAGCAGGAGAAGATGTCGAGGTAGAAGAGGAAAGAAGAGCAAAGGAGGAATGAAAGCTTTGTTGTTGGAAGTCTTTTGTTTTTTGTTTTGTTTCTGTGTTTTTATTTTTTATTTTGTTGCTCTTTCCTGCAAACTAGTACTTAAAAGTTTCACTTTGATGTATTTAAACTTTATTGCAATGAATTGTTGGTTTACTGTGTTCTTATTTGTGGTTGCTACTGTTCTTTTCCCTTTCCCTTTTGATAATGGGGACACTATCAAGTTTAAGTATAGGGGAGGGATTCATTTTGCTTTGCTATTTTCCAGTGTTGCATCATTTCTTTGATTGTTTCAGAATTTTTAGTAATTTTTTTTAAAATCCAATCTTTCATCATCATTATTGGGCTTTGAATTGATTGTGGATAGTGAATTGTTGTGTTTTGGATCGTCTCTGTCTATTTTGATGCTTGCTGAAAGGGTTTTTACTTGTTAAATTTTAGCCAAGCTTTGAAAAATTTTTGTTGGTAGTTTTTGTGACCTTAAGTCACGACCTCACTGCTTGAGGTTGCGACTTAAGGTGTGGCTTTGGCAAGGGAGGGCTCTCTGTGTATTGAGGTCACGACCTCACTGATTTTAAGTGGCGACCTCAACCCCCTTCCTGATTTGGTGCTTCTGTGTACTCAGGTCACAACCTCACTGATTTCAAGTCATGACCTGGCCTCTTTTGCTGTGCACCACTTTACTTCTCTTTGCTTTTTGCAATACTGTGTAGGAGGAACCTTTTTAAGCTACCTTTGTATCTTTTTCAAGCAAACCATTGCCTTTTTAATCTACTCTCATTGCGTCAAATAGTTTTTCTTGAAAACCATGCCCATCCTTGGACTTTTGAGAACACTGGATTTTGAAAATGATTTCTCTAAGACTTTATAGTCACTTTTGAGATTCAAGTATGTTCTTAAGTGATTACTTTGATCTTTTTAATCCTCATCTTATGGGTTGCTTTGGTGATAAGTATCCTAATGCCTCGTGGGTTGCTTTTATGATAAGTATCCTAATGCCTCGTGACTAATGCATATTAATTGAAACTTCTTGTATGAGCAATTGAGATATGAAAGCCTTATTAGAAGGATATTCTCGAGCCTTAATCCCTATTTTGAGTGATTATTCATATGGTTTACATTCTCTAGAACTTGTTTTAACTCTTGGTCAAAATTACGTGTGCATTTATGATTTTGAATATGATAGAGGCATTCTTTTCGACATCTTTCTACCCAAATACAACCCACAACCATCTATCTGTTGCCTAACCCTTTTGATCCTGCACTTCCTTCATTTCGTCCATCATTTCGAGTGTTTGAACTATGATGTTAATTGAGTTGATTTCATCTTGATAAATACGACTTTCTAACCTTATGGACTTTTATTAGGAATTTTAATTTTGCTTATTTAAAAAAAACAAAAGAGAAGAAAGGGGAAGAAAGAAAAGTTCTTAAAAAAAACAGAGAGTAAAAAAAACCCTTTTTATATACATAAATTATAGTAACAAAATAAAGTTGAATAAAGTATTCTCTTAGTGGTAGAAGGTTAGGATCTGAACTTTCTTGTTTAAGATTTGATGATGTTGACTCACCTTTCTTTAATTCTTGACAATCGATTTCATTTCTATCTAGCCTTTCCATCGCTATAACCTTAAAAGTCCTCTTGATTCTTTACACGAATGCTTATTACAAGCTTATGGTAGGATGTTTGCTACTTGGATATTTGAGAGAAAAGAACCCCGATGAGTAGAGATGAGCGAATCAAACACTTGTACCCTTTGAGCAAATCTCTGCTGTTGATACA